TTTTTATGTTAGGTGTCCATTTTAGGTCTTGTGATATGATAGAACCTAGAAATTTGAAGGTCTCTACTGTTGATACTGTGTTGTCTAGTATTGTAAGAGGTGGTAGTATGGGAGGGTTTCTCCTAAAGTCTACCACCATTTCTACGGAGGTGTTGAAGTAAGGTCCTTCACTTGTCCAATTTATGATTGAGTAGCAGGAATGGATTTGCTAGACTTGCCGAGATACAGGTAATTACAAAAGTTCATTTAGTGACCATTCAAAATCACAACAGCACTGAAAAAAGTGACTTATGACTATTTTTCACACTTACAACCTTTGCAGCATCTCCATGATCATGTGATCAAAATTCAGAGGCTTGGGAACTTGTTTATATTTATGACCATTGCTCTTACGTGATCACCTTCTGCGACCTTCTGACAAGTGAAGTCAATGGGAAAGCCAGATTCACTTAATAACCCGCTTACTAACTAATCAACTGCAGTGATTCATTTAACTGTGGCAAGAAAGGTCATAAAATGGGACAAAACTCACTGAACAAATGTCTCACTTAATCACAGAAATGTTGGGCTCAATTGTTGTCATAAGTCGAGGACTACCTGTGTTTGTTTTCAGCATTAATGAAAAAGGCACCTTGGAGGCAAACAGGTTATAAACACATAAAGCACCTTCATCTAATTGCTAATTTTGGTTGAGTGGGTTTGTTTGAATACCCCTAAAGTCCCCTCTGTGTTCAACTGGCAGAAAGATGTACCACCCGTGTGAATGCAATACAAATCTTTATTTAATCACCAATAAGGAAATATTAACTGTTAGCCGAGTTATTGTTCTAGGAGTCTAAATTACAAGAAAATTTAATTGTAATTCTCTCCCCACTGTTTTTATAGAGAGGATCAGTGTAGGAAGAAAAAAGTAGATTGGATTGGATCTTTTTTTTCTCTGCCACAAGAGGGTGCAGACAGATCTCTTCACAAGCCAAGTAAACAAAATGTGGAAAGTGAAGTGGGTCACTTGATGTTCTTGTTAGATGAGTGATTTCTAAATGCAGTGTGATTAGAGAAATGATTTTGTTTCTTAAGTTAAGAGTGGAAGTATGTAGAGTTCTCCTAAGTACAACAAATCCTTACAGGCTGCAATGTGATTTCAGGGAATAACATTTGTGGTATGTGAATTATGCGCCTGTGTGCATCTGTTTTCTTTCAGATAGGCACTTCAAATTTGTTGACACCTCAAGTGCACATTTCTTGGTGTAAAATAAAATAATAACTGGTTTTCAGATTGAAGCAGGAGGAACTTCCATAGAAAGCTCATGGATTCTAGGGGTTTGCTATGAAGTTTGCAAGAAAAGTGGGCTTACTGTCAACAAAACTAATTTGCAACATTTCCTAAATTCAGGGAAAGAGAGATGTACACATTCTCTGAACCAGGAATGGATAGCTAATCTAAAGATAGCAGTTGAAAATTGTGGCACAATTTTTTCATTATTCTGCAGTAGTAAATAGAGATACATTAAACTACATTTAATATAAATTTTAAAATGTCTCCAGATTAAGCTGGTTCCCCTAGTATATTCTACCATCGTCCAAGAGCTGAACATGAAGTAACATGCCTTGTCTGCCATATTTTATCCTCAGCATTATCCTATTAGGGTGACGTATGATTCCATAGTATTAGGCCTCTGTCTGACCACTCTTCTAGCCAGGCACAATGGGAGAAGACACTGCCTTCTGACAAACCTTAAGTATGAAGTGTACGTTCTTCTTATCAGTCGCCATCTGGGAAAGTATTCTTTGAAGATTTGCTGACTTGCCTTATTACTATAACCCAACCTGAGCATAAGTGTACATACGTATGTATGTATGCATATATGCATGAATGTACATATATTTAATGCAAGAGAGCTTCTTCTTATGTTCATAATTCATGGACAATTCAGCCTTGCTTTTCACACTTGATTTTTTTTTTCCTTTAGCAATATTATTCAAGGAATAAGAAATCTAAGAGAATTGTTAAGAACCATGGAAACAAAGGCTACTCTGAGCTTCAGAATGGTAAATTCAATCCCTGGATTCCACATTAGCTCTCTTGGCAGAAGCCTGTAAACCAACCTCTCTCCCTCCCTCTTTCCTTTCTTCCTCTCTTCTTAGCATGTAAATTTGATGTTGCAATTCTGAGTTAACTAACTGATTAATATGGTCAAATGGAATTTAACATACCTAACTTTGGTAGTTTTTCTACTACACAAGATTATTATAAAATCTAGATGGGGGGAAATTATATAATTAGGCTTCGCTGTCTAATGTAAACTTTTTTAAAAAAATATCTTGTCACAATATGAGCCTTACTTAACATTTTTGTAGAAACAGCATACTCATAGATGTGAAAGGAAGAACTGGAAAGGAAGAGGTTCAAAAGTTGCATTTGAACAGATTGGATCAGAGGTTTGGAATTTTGAGTTTGACCTGGGATGGACCAGCTTTTATTTTAGAGAGTTTCAGTATCCTTCTTTCCTCCAAGAGCTATTTTAGTCAGCTTTTGTATGTTGCTGGGAACTTTTTTTTAGCAGCAGCAACAGCAGCTACAAATGACAGGAATTACAAGAAATATGGTTCTAGCAACTGATGAATGCCATTTTTAGCATTCAAAGATATTGCACCCACATCCAGATTGCTGCATAGTACGACCATTTATAACCATTTGCATGTCAAAATACTAATGTAGATTTTTGCAGTATCAAAAGAATGAAGCATGGATCCTACATTCAGTCTGTTTCAAAACAAGATGGCATAGTAGAAAAGACTTACTTTCTCTGAAACTAAAAATTATTCTATTTTAGATTAACAATAATATAAGCTTGACTTTCATAGACCAGGGAAAAGCATTTTGCCTTTCCCCCCTCTGTTGATTAATGCAGTTATTGAAGATTGTATATAGATGTAAATTTGAAAAATGCCCAACACCGAACAACTGGGGTGCTTTATACTATAAAAAAAGTTAGAACAATGAAATGAAAGAGGAAAGAGATGTGTGCCCATAAAAAAGAACTATACGTAACAAACCCAAATCTTATAGGGGTTCATCACCCAAGATGAGCAAAAATGGAACCTCATCAGGGTGGGAGCCATGCATCTGTCTGAGGTGGCGGGAGGAGATATTATTTTAGAAGGCGGATATTGTAGCAGAAAAAGTGTTCTTCATCCACCTAGATCACAGTGTTTAATTCAATGGGCAGAAATCGTTGGAGATAGCTAGTTCTTTAAGTAACCAGGCTCTATGTCATGTAGAGTTCTATATGCTAGCCAGTATCTTGAATTGCACCCAGAAGCCAGCAGGTTCATGGAGCAGTGTTATCATGTGGACAAACTACTGTAGCTTATGATTGATTTTCAAGGGCAGTTCCATGTATTACTCCGTTGCTCCATTCTTTTTTGGGGGGTGGTAGGTGGGGGGAGAGGAGAAGTGCAGATTGATAGAAAAACATAAGGACAAATATGCTGTAAAAAACAGATGAAAAGTTCATTATTTTACCATCTCTTCATAGGGAGATTCTGTATGGAACAAACTTGTGGGTGGTTCTTGTTTTCCCTTTGATCCACAGAGTTCTGAGGAGTTGATGGCTCCTCTTGTTGCTGCGGTTGTTGGCTTTGCTAAAGTTAAGCCATCTTCAGCCCTCCATTGCTTCCCTGGAAGTCTACAACAGTCCATTCTTGGGGTATTTAGGGAATGACCCACCTGATGAAGGAACAGGTACAAATATCACACTAGATTTATCTGCACAAAATCCCTCTTGGCCATAGCTGCTACCTGCTCTTCAAACAAACAATCTGAGTCCAAGATGACTCCAGATTGTACAACAATCTTGATTGGAATAATCAGCCAATCTCATTGTACACATGTTGTACTCTGACAATAAAGATAATAATAATAATAATGATGATGATGATGATGCAGCTTCCATCCAAGATGGAGACCTTGAGACCAGAGGGCTGAAATATTCATAGCTACTTGGTCTTTTCAGGATTGAGTCTAAGTTTATTCCTCTTCATCCGGGCCTGCAAAGCCTCCAGACACTGGGACACAACATCAGCATCACTTGCAAGATATATAATTGGGTATCATCTGCATAATACTGGTCTAATGGATGACCTCACCCAGTAGTTTCATGTAAAAGTTGAGCAGGCAGAGAGAAAGTGTCAAACTCTGTGGCACCCCACCAGCAATGGGCCATATATTTGATTTCTTCTCCTCCATCAATGCCGATTGGCCTCAGTGAAAGAAGAACCAGAATAACACCACAATGTGGTGTCTCCCCCTCTCAGTTCCTTCATTCTGTACAGAAGGATATTGTGGGTAGTGACATGAAACTCTATTTCTTAGAGAGTTCTCTGGAGCTCTTATCAGATCACCTTCTCAACAACCTTTCCTAAAAAGAGGAAAATTGTCCAGGATCATTAGGCCCAGTGATGGCTTCTTGAGGGAACAGAATACCACCCCCCTTTCAGAGCTAAAGGGTCACCCCGTTTCTTAAAAAAATAAAGCTTTAACACAAGCATGGGTTCTTTTTGTGACACGACTGTCACTGCCCCTCCCTTCATAATGTAAACTCTAATATCATGCTTGCAATAATGGGCTTAACCAGGATTAAAAAAACAAAATCCCAAATCTTGTCCATTTCCCAGACCTCAACTATTGTTCTTGCCCCAATGTTTGTAAATAATGATTATTGCAAACATGTCCCCAACCTGTTCTTCAAAAGGGCTTTAGCTCCCTTAAGAGGTGTTCCTTACAATTCCCAGAATTCTGAGCAATTTCCACACTGGGGAATTCTGGGATGGAAGGCTGAATACCTGGAGGCATGCAAGTTGGAGCTGTGCTATAGCGTCCAAGAATGCTGTGTGGTGCCATACTTCCCCCCCCACACACACCTTTGTGGCCTGTGCAGCCCCCAGTCACAACCAGGTTGCTCATTCTTGGATTTTTTTTTTTTTAGTTATGCTATAGTACCAAAACTATAGTACTGAAACTAGGACAGTGATCCCTCACACTAATGGAATAGTGAAGGGCAAAGGGTTCTATTACAGCCCAAATGTCTCTTAAATGCACATGGACCAAGTACACCACATTCACACACAAGAAATGTGGGTCACATCTATTCAAAGAGCATCAGCTGATGGCATTTGAGGACCAGCTTGTGATTGAAGTCCACTGACTACCACTTGGTAGATTGGTAAGCATAAAATGTGCTGTAGCTGAAAGGTCATCGGGATGGTCAATATTATAGCTGGAGGCAGAGGAACCAAAATGATTGTCCAGTTTTATGGATGAGATAATCAAGGAACCAATGGAACTTGTAGATGCAGTGAGAAAAATAGCCGAGGCAATCAGAAGATTAAGTCCTAATTATTGTTAACAATCACAGCTTAACATTCAGAGGTACCCTTTATTGTGCTTAATACAAAATGAAAGCCAAAAAATCTGATATTTTCTCCTGGACTAAGCTGGAAGGGAAAAGTGCAGTACAATGCTGAGTTGTATTGTGACATTTGAATATAATCACCTTTACCATAATGTATTAATAGTATCATTATTACTGATTTTTAATATGCCCTGGAAGGATAAAGTCTTGTATTCTTGCATTGTGCTACCAATACTTTTAATAATTTGTTTTTAATGTAATGGATATAAAAGTTTTGAAGTAGAATTAACCTGCCAAAATTTCTAAGTTAATTAATTTGGAATGTTGAATGGCAGTGTGTAAATTTCACTTGTGACCAGAAAATGTATTCTAAGCAGAAAAATGCTTTTTCTTCTTTGCTTTGCCAGAAGCTGATATAAATAAAATATGGAGTTACTTTTTGCCTGGTGTTATTCATAACAAAAGTGAAACAAACTATTTAGTATTTTTAGTATTTATTTGATATGTCAATCTCTTACAAGATACAGGAATAAGAATAAATATAGTTTTGAATACATGAGATAGATACTTATAAAAAAAAATAGGACAGGGACGGTAGGCACGATTGGTGCGCTTGTGCGCGCCCCCTACAGGCCTTTTAGGAAGGGGGTGAGGTCAATAGCGGACAGTCTAAGGTTAAAGTTTTGGGGGTTTGGGGAAGAAACCACAGAGTCAGGTAGAGTATTCCAAACATTGACCACTCTGTTGCTGAAGTCATATTTTCTGCAGTCAAGTTTGGTGCGGTTAACCTTGAGTTTGTATCTATTGTGTGATCTTGTATTGTTATGATTGAAGCTGAAGTATTCATTTTCAGGTAGGACATTGCAATGTATGATTTTATATACTATATTTAGATTGGACCGGAGGCGGAGTAGTTCTAGGTTTTCTAGGTCTAGAGTTTCAAGTTTGGAGGCATAAGGTATTCTGCAATGAGTAGAGGAGCGGAGAGCTCTTCTTGTGAAATATTTCTGGACTTTTTCAATTGTGTTAATATCAGATACATGATATGGGTTCCAGACTGATGAGCTGTATTCAAGTATAGGTCTAGCAAATGTTTTGTATGCTCTAGTTAGTAGTGTGATATTACCAGAGAAGAAGCTATGTAGGATTAGATTAACAACTCTTAATGCCTTTTTGGCTATGTAGTTACAGTGGGCTCTAGCACTTAGATCAATGTGACTGTTGAACTGTGCAATAAAGAAAACATCCACTGAGAAGACAGAAAGTAGATGTTTTTAGAGGAAAGTTCCATTTTCAAACATTTACCATTGCTGTCTGTACTGAAGGGCCATAAAAAGCCTAAATACAAACATATAAGGTACACATACTAACACCTACAAGCACAGAGCAGAAATTATTGTGTTGGCCTCTTTAGAGCTCCCTTCCGTAATACAGTACTTACAATTGTTTATTCCTTCTTATGCAACTCAATGCATCCTGTGTTTTACACTGGCTCATAGCATAAGATGAAATCTGTCCTTTGAGTTTTTAAAAATGTATTTTTCAATTTCTTTCCATTCTTCACCAGACAGCTACCAAACAACTGGCAGAGCTGCTCCTCCACTCCCTAAGTGAAGATTGTTACTGGAGTCCCTTATCTGACCCACTTCCCGAGTTCATGAAGAAAGAGGACAATGCTTATATTTGTAACACCTTACGACGAAAACTACAGCAACACGCTGGAGATAAGTACGGACCTAGGAGCTTACAGAATTTTAAAAACATCTTAACTACTGAAGGGGAAGAGAGCTATTAATTAGAAATAATAGCCAGGTCTTCTGTTAGAGGTCTCTGGTAATAATAGTTTTAGAAAAACAAAAAAGCTACATTCTGTATCTGGAATTTTAAATCAATTTAATACCTGCTCTTTGGGGTAGGTTTCAGTTCATAGTACAAATACTAAGTAAATCATCCTATGTAAAATATATAACTATACAGAGTAGCACCAGAAAGTAAAATAATTATGAAAATTAATTTTTAAAGGCTTTTAAAATTCCCTTACATTAATAGGTCAATTGAACAGAGAAGGGCAAATGGAAGTTTGCCAGTGTATATTATTGAGTAGTAGATATCCTAAAATGAAAGACTCAGTCATATTAATAGAGATAATGCCACACATATCTTGCTGGAAATACGAGGGGGCCAAATCCTGGAATTCATCCATCAACCAGCTCTTTCTGAAGGATCATCCCTCAGTTGCAAGGTTCTCATAAGCTGATCCATGTGCAGGCAATCTGGGCCCAAATGCTTTAGATTGAATGCTGTCAGAATGCCCAGGAGCTAAATTGTTTCATGAATAAAGAGTTTTTGACCAATCATTTGCTCTCCCTCGTCACAGATGAGTTATCTCCTCTATAGCTTTTAGACATTCCAGTCTGAAGAAACGATTATATAACAAATTAATCATGCATGAGATGTTTCACATTACTAATCCTGTGGTGCTATTAACAAGAGTCTCCCATGAGCATAATTCTTATTGTTGCTTATATTTTGAAAAAGCCTGTTTGTCTTTCAGCATCTATAGCCCCCATGACAACGTTGAAGAAGCTCTCCTCCTCCTCCTGATCAGCGAATCCATGGTAAGCCAAATAAAAATAGCTGTAAAGAAGGATAGCAATTAAGCATATAATAATCACCATTATGCTTTTATGAAGGGAATTCCAGGTGTCTTTTCTAAGCTACAAATTCAATTAATGTCCACAAAAGCATACCTATGGATTGAACATGAAACAATCACCTCCAATACAGAGGAATCGGCTGTTATTTTTTTCTAAAGCATCACTGAATGGTGCCCAATTTTAAATAAGGATTGAATGAATTGCCTGAAAAAATGTAATAGAAAATGTGACTCAATCTGGTGAATTTTTCTTAGTGTCACAGGGGGACAATTTTTTCCATCTTGTTCCCAAAATAGGCTTAACGAGAAAGCAGTCTTTTGTTTGTTTGTTTGTTTTAAAAAATTCTGAATCCATTTTCTTGGACTTGATGGATTTATGGTGATACATCTCTGCAGAAGTGGGACAGACTTTGTAATGCTTTTCTAAGAATTAAATAAGTAAAATAAACAGCAGGAGATTATATCACAGAACTGGCTTTATGGTGACTGTACAGGGAAGAGTTCATTCCCAAGACTAAGACTAAAATCCTAAACAGTTACATGAGAATTTGTTTCATTTTAATTGGAGGCTGAACAAACTGAAATGATCCTTTAGGTAGCTGACTGCAGGTGTTGTGAAAAGCTACCTATTTGTTAGTCATTTATAGTGCAATCCTAAGATTTATTCAAAACACTTCCAACAATTCAGCACTCTAATACTTCTAGTGCCCTGTTTGTTGTAGCCTGGCAGCTTAGAATTGAGAACTGAGAGATACTTATATCTTTTTGCCTTTCCTATTCAAATAAATAAAAAATTCCATTGCATGCAGTATAAGTGGTTGTGGGTAGGCCCATTCTGAGCTGCAGCTCTTGGGTCTTGCCTTAGCTTGATGTGTTTGGAAGCCATTTATAGTAGCAGAGAGAAGGACAATGGCTTGTGTATATCAGGATCAAAATGACTGACCTTGAATGAAAGAGGGGACTGCAGTTTGCTGTCGTGCTTTGGATACTTTTAGGCAAGCATCATATTTATTTTGTATTGTATAATGTTATATTATCGGTTAATACAGTTGTATATATGCATATCGTGTATGATATATCACAGTGTGCTATATAATGCTTGTATTAGAGCAGTTTTTATGTGTTTCTGAAATATACGCAAATGTGAATTATTCAGACTTATTTGGGAGCAATTGTTTTGGGCAGGTTCATCTTCAGGCGACTGAGAATCAAAATAGATGGAATTGACATATTTTTCTTTGATTACAAGCTCTTTTGTGGTGGTCGAATGGGATAATGGAAGTTGGAACCAAAGGTACATCATGACTGGAAGGTGGCTTTCCTGTGAGGTCATGTATTAAACTTAAATCACACCATTTTTACATTTCCTACCAACTATAGAGGGAAAATGGGAACAGGGGTATCCTCAGGGTATGTATCAGTACATTCATTGATACATATCTGTATCTGTATACATATCATATCTGTATACATTGATTGATGTAAAATCAGTCAGAGATTTGATTGCACCCATCATGGTTGCCACCTTGATATTTTTAGTACACCCTGCAGACACGCCTGGTTTGGGCCAAAAGTTTCTTAACCTTTAGTTGATTTTAAAACTCTGTACCTCCACGAAAGTTAAAGATTGGAACATAAATCTGGCCAACCTTCTGATCAAAGGTTATAGAAGAATTGGTTTCTTTAAAGACTGAGGAATTGTTTCATTGCTCATGAAAACTTTGGACTTTTTGCTGCAAGACACTGTGTTTCCAGTTATGCCAAGGCAAATACAAGATTTATGTTTGTAGAGCTATTGAAGAGTCAAAAGAATGAACGCATTGTGCCTATTATTTTTGATTTCAGTTTATCTTTTGTATTGTTTTCCAATCTAAATTTTATTTTGCCCATGCTGAAATTTTTAAAAAGAACCAGTGCTTTTAGTAAAACAGCAGGATTCCTGAAATGCTAATAGTATAGATCAACTGGGTACCATTACTTACAACAGCTGTGTTAATGAAAGTGGCCTTTGCAAAATGTGGTTTAAGGGAATTTCTGAAGCTTCCAAGCTAAATTGCTCATGAGATTTACAATCCAATTACTTTGAAGCAGAATAATTGTTTACATGTTCATATAGTGTGAATAGATATACCATGATATAATCATATTTCATATTTCTTTTGCAGTCTATGATAGCTGTATATTTACATGTACTGTTAAAAGGCCACATTAACACACTTTCCTCACATTCTTGAGTCAGGAGTTATTTCTATATAAACTGTGCTGCCCCCATAACCCATCATTATCACATCTGAGCAAAGAAATCGGGCAATGTTGCTACCCACACACAGTCTAATATGGAATACTTTCAGAGTGGTGTCTGATGGGTTCTAGACTCAATGTCACGTCATGGAAAACTAACCACCACCAATTGCTTTCCTGAACATTTGTGTCAAGCATCTTGCAATCAAAAAGACAAGTTTCTCACAGAACTAGAGTAGACAATTTTATTACAGTGAGAAAGGAATTTTAGCTTAGGGAATCTCAGAGTCTTGATATGTATACCGTGGGCATTTGTTGAATCAGGTTTCACCTAATTTGTACTCGCACCTTTGGTTTTTTTCTGCCTAAGTGTAAAACCTTGTTTTTCTCCACATTAAATTTCATGTTATTGGATAGGGTCCATTGTGCAAGCCTGTCAGGAACTTTTTGGATCCTGAGCTTGTCTTCTGGATTGTTTCATTTCAAATCAGATTTCTCCCAGCAGCTATGAATCTTTCCTCTTTTTTATTATTTTAAAACTTACATTTATTATTGTTTTATTTTTATGGCCTTTTCTGGTTTTACACTTGTCTAATTTCTTTCTTCTCCCATTTGTGCCTTCTCCTGAAAAGGAGTCCTTGCCTTTCCTGATCAGCTGTTCATTACTAAAAACAACCTCACCTTCCTGAATCTGTTTCAAAGTGTGACAGGTAGAATTTGGTCTTTTGTATTTTATGTTTTGAAGAATGTGTTTTTGGTTTTATCTTTTTACTTGAAAGACAACTTTTGGTTGCTTTCAGGTCTCCTCCATCACAAGAATACATCTTCCCTGAATACTTTCTCTTTCCTGCTACCTCAAAAATGAAGACCAACTCATCACATCATCACAAACACTGGCCCTGCCAATCTCTGGACCTGAAATAATTTTGTTCTTTTGATCAGCCTTGATGCCTTCCAACCATGGTGGACATCAGTTCTTGTATGGACTGTGCTGCTAAGATTATTAAAACTGTGATTCATCACATATTCAGAAAAAAACCCAGACTAGGAATGGTAGACTTTTTAAGCATCGTTGATCTTAATCTCTTGATTTCCTGGAAGATCTGCATTCAGTCTACCATGACTCTGATAGTCATATCAAAAAGAGAAATATGCTGCAAAAACAAGGTCTTCCTCAAAGCCAAAGCCAAAATGGCCATAGAAGTTGTGCCTAGTGTCTGGTCATGGAAGGGATATTCTCACAGTGAACTTAACAGAGTAATTGGAGATAAGCAACGACATCCCCAACTCATCTTTAAGATATCCTATATTTTCCACATGAGAGATCGGGGTCAGGACACCACTCCAAACCAGAACAGCTAAAGATGACTTGAAGCTGTTTCAGTGGAGGGGCGATAATGAGTAGAAGGTAATGTCATGAAGACATGTCCCTCAAAAATAGCCTGCACAGTATTTGTGCCATAGGAACTAGGTTGTGAGAATAAGCCTTAAATAGAGTTTAACAGAATTAGTCAACAACATTGGCTAGTTAGTCTTGCAATGAAAATTATATGAGATTATAAAGATAGTTTACTAAGGGAAATCTTATTTTTAATATTATTTCTTTTAAGGACACAAGTCATAACTTTTTCATTTCCAAACGCCCAATTGTGTAAAATCATTCTTTTGTTTTCACACTGCAGATTTTAAGGCCTGGCTCAAATGTATTAGCTGCATGCTTAAATATGCAGTGCCTCATGCTTACAGAATGCATGGTGAAACCAAGTCCTTAGTGCAAATAAAAAAGCTCAAAAGATACTCCAAGCCTGTTTTAACTGTATATACCCTCCAGCGACTTTTTCAGTTAGTTCCGGATGTTGCTTAATATTACAAGAATTAGAAATGGAGTTTAAAAAGGAACATTTTCCCCATCAACACTTTCTTCTCTTTCTCCCACCCTTACCACCTCCACAAAATCCGCAATCAGTTTGCAATGTTTCAATTTACATATAGAAAATCTTTTTCTTCTTCTTCAGCACCTTGAAGTACAATTCATATAACTGTTATGGGCCATCTTCACGGCATTGATTTTCACTTTACTAGTTAGCTAATGTGTTCCTTTCAATTTGATATTTCCCTACATGCTTCACACTAGCACAAGAGATCAGGAGGTTAGTAAAATAAGAATGGCTGGCTAATTCTAATGGATATTGTGTCGAACATAAGAAGAGCTTGGAATAATTCATGTAAAGTATCATGGACACCTGGCATTTGATCTTAGAAAAACTGTTCTTGTTTATTATTTACTTATTCAGTTAAACCCTTCGGTTCCAAAGGCATATTTTCTGGCTCAGTTAAATAGGATTCTTATAATTAATGGGTGATTTATGTCACAGAAAAAGAGAGACAAATTGAGATCTCTGGTACATAGGAATTTACAGCTAAGACTCAACCTAGTATTGTTTATTCCAGCAGTAAGTAAATACTAGATTCCAGAAGCTGTTGGACCCCAATTCCCATCAGCCCCACCTGACAGAGGTTACATTTGAATTTGCTAATTCCCTGGTCCCTGTTTATTCTAATTTGGAGCTGATCTCTAAAATCCAGGGGTTTTTCTACCACTTGAACAGTTATTTTTAAATTGGTGAGAAGCCCAGCTGAATCTACAGATTCTTAATGTATATGACTTCAATTATCCTGATATCAATTGGAAAACTAATTCTGCACCAAGTGAGAAATCAA